TCTGTCTCCAATGACACTATGAACTATTTGAGGGATATGGTGTCAAGGTGGGATTTGAATTTGGGAAGACTGCCAGGCAAAATGATGGCTCTAGTCACTGAAGTTGGGAACCTTTTCAACAAGTAGCTAGCGTGGTGTAAGCAACGTGTACATTCCAGATATGTTATTACACTCATTAACAAACTGTCCTAGTTTTTCACTTGGCCAAATGCCGTGGCTTTACATTGGGCAAGGTTCCATGTAGTTCTATAGCAGAGAGTGAGTGTTTTAGTTGGCAGGCAAAGAACCACTCATCTGTGAAGACCGACTGACTTTGGTTAATTATTAAAATGGCTGTTCTTCTTCCTGCCCCCACTTTTTTTGGACATATTCCCAGGGTCCTTTTATGTATAGGTCAGGCTCTTTAATATTGAAGCACTTTATCCCCCTCCGCCTGAATTGTTGGTGCTTTTTATCCATTATTCTGAAGCATAGGTGAATCTGTAAAATGAATGGGTCAGAGGGGGAAGTATTGAGTCCATGAACTCTTGCTTTCACTTCTCTCTCTGTCTGTCTCTTTCTCCCTTTCTCTGTTAGTGCATGTGTGGTCCAGCTGCCTATTGCGGTCTGTACCCTTTTTGTTTATTCAGTTCAGCCACTTGTTACCTCTTCGGGCCTCTGAGACATAGGCCCCATCTGCCCTATATATTGAAAGCAGTGCATTGCCACTTTAAACAGTCATGCCTTCCACCAAAGAATCATGGGAAGGGTAGCTCATTATGGGTGCAGAGAATTTGGAGACCCCTAATTCGCCTCCGTGAGCTACAGTTCCCAGGGTTCCCTGATAAGAGGAATTGATTGTTAAATGACTCAGGGACTGGCAGCTCTGTGAGGAAAATTGGGGTCTCCTAACAGCTCTCCTCAGGACGTGGGTGGTGCTGTGGGTTAAACCACAGAGCCTAGGGCTTGATGATCAGAAGGTTGGTGGTTCGAATCCCTGCAACTGGGTGAGCTCCCGTTGCTCGGTCCCTGCTCCTGCCAACCTAGCAGTTCGAAAGCACGTCAAAGTGCAAATAGATAAATAGGTACCACTCTGGCGGGAAGGTAAACGGCATTTCCGTGTGCTGCTCTGGTTCGCCAGAAGCGGCTTAGTCATGCTGGCCACATGACCTGGAAGCTGTACACCGGCTCCCTCGGCCAATAAAGCAAGTTGAGCGCCGCAACCTCAGAGTCGGCCACGACTGGACCTAATGGTCAGGAGTCCCTTTACCTTTACCGTTAACAGCTCTCCTCACTTTTAACAAACTGCACATCCCAAACTTTGAGGAGACTCTTGACTGTTTAAAGTGGGCACACTGCTTCTTTAAATTTGTAGCACATATGGAGCCTTAGAAACAGAAGTGGGAAGGTGATAATATTTTGTTATCCTGAGCGTCTCCAGCCCCATCATTCAGCCCAGACACTGAGATCCAGCGCCGACGGCCTTCTGGCGGTTCCCTCATTGTGAGAAGTGAGGTTACAGGGAACCAGACAGAGGGCCTTCTCTGTAGTGGCGCCCACCCTGTGGAACAGCCTCCCTTCAGATGTGAAGGAAATAAGCAGCTATTTTTAAAAGACATCTGAAGGCAGTCCTGTTCAGGAAAGTTTTTAATATTTAATTCTGTACTGTTTTTAACATTTGATTGGGAGCCACCCAGAGTGGCTGGGGAAACTCAGCCAGATGGGCAGGGTATAAATAAATAATAATAATAATAATAATAATAATAATTATTATTATTATTATTATTATTATTATTATTATTATATTGTTGAATTGAGAGTGTATAAGCTCATTTGGAAGATCTTAAGTGGCTCATCTGAGATCTTAAAAGGGGTGATGGTTGGAACTTCCAACCAGGAGGCCGAATGTGGCCTTCCAGACCTATGTTTCTAGCCCTCAGGTCACTCCCCTGGCCACAAAACACACCCCTTCACCAGGTGATGTATTAACATTAGTCCTGCTTTGTCTGGCTGGAATGTGTCCTTGAACTCTGATGATGCCTCTTGCTTACCTAGATGGAGAACACAGAGAGGGTTATGCATCCTTGCTTTAGATTTCCCCTCCTCTAGCAGGGCTGGCCCTATCATTAGGCAAAGCGACTCAGTTGCCTCAGGCAGCAATTGGTGGCAGCAGCAGCATTCCCACTCCATGTCTCCTGAACACTCCCACCCACGGGATAAAGTAAGATAAGCTTTGGTTGTAAGTCACTTTGGGTTGCCCTGGGCAAGATAAGCAAGCAAGCAAGCAATAATGTTAATGGGTAGACCTAGCAAAAAGGTAGAGGGTGCAAAGGGCATATAAATGCATAGTACAGTGGTACCTCGCAAGACGAATGCCTCGCAAGACGGAAAACTCGCTAGACGAAAGGGTTTTCCGTTTTTTGAGCTGCTTCGCAAGACGAATTTCCCTATGGGCTTGCTTCGCAAGACGAAAACGTCTTGCAAGTTTGTTTCCTTTTTCTTAACACCGTTAATACAGTTGCGACTTGACTTCGAGGAGCAACTCATAGAACGCAGTGTACATAGTAGCCTTTTTTGAGGTTTTTAAAGACTTTGGTGATTTTTGAAGCTTTTCCAAAACTTCTTTTGCAGCCATTTGGTAAGTTAAGCTTTTAAAACTTTTTGGGGGGTTTTGGGGTTGGGGTGTTTGGAATTCAAGGACTTGGTGTTGGGGAGGGGTTTGCAAGAATCTGGAAGCTTGTGTGTTTTTTTCTGCATTTTTATGATTTTCTGTGACCATTGGGCCACTCTGCTGTTTTTTTAAAAAAAATCTGGATTTGAATTTCTGTGTGCTGGGTGGCTGGGGGAACAGTTGGGGAGGGGTTTGCAAGAATCTGGAAGCTTGTGTGTTTTTTTCTGCATTTTTATGATTTTCTGTGACCATTGGGCAAATCTGCTGTTTTTTAAAAAAAATTCTGGGTTTGAATTTTGAAATGCTCTTTACAGTATGTGTGACTTTAAAGAGCACTTAATAAACTCTTGTTGTACCAAATTTGGCTTTGTTTGGACTTTTTTGACCATAGGAACACATTAATTGATTTTCAATGCATTCCTATGGGATTTCGTGCTTCGCAAGACGAAAAATTCGCTAGATAAAAAAATTCGCGGAACGAATTAATTTCGTCTTGCGAGGCACCACTGTATATAGACAGATATATACATATATGTGTGTGTGTGTGTATTTATATCTCTATATCTATATATCTATATATCTATATATCTGCATTCAGTTCTTTGGGTTTGCCTCCCCTGCCCCAGATCTGTAGCCTTATGGGAAGAGGGGCTAGTATAGAAAAGCAGATGGCATAATAGCATGGATCTTAGATAACATGCTCCTTTAAACATAGCAACCTCCTTTATATGGAGCCAGACCATTGATCCATCTAGTTCAGTATTAGCTACTCTGACTGGCAGTGGCTGTGCAGGGTTTCAGGCAAGGGACATTCCCAGAACTACCTGGAGATGCCAGGGATTTAACCAGAGACCTTCCGCATGCAATGGAAGTACTCCTGGACTGTGCTACAGTCCTTCCCAGAGACAGAAGCCCATTCTCCCTGTGATGCAGCCTTAACTGCAGAGAGGTGCCATTTGCTCTTCTGCTTCAGGCAGTACAGTATCTCCTGCCAGCCTTGTTCCAAAGACATATTCTTTAGAGAGAGTCTTATAAGCTCCTCAGCATTACTCTTGCTTGAGCTGGGAAGGATACAAATGTCACTTCTGAAATGTCATCGTTGCCTCGAGAACTTCTGAGACCACCACAGTTGCACAGTTGCTTGGTGCAAAGATTCATTTACTGTGTATGTGTTTAAACTGCCCTTCACCATACAAACACAGGGCTGGTGACAACTCGGTTTCATGCACGTGTTTGCACGTAAGGTAGTTGAATTGCATTTGGTGGGTTTCTGTTCTTGGATGTGCTAATCTCAGCCCGCTAAACTGATCATTGTTTAGTGCTGAATTGTGTACACACCGTGTATTTAAAGCTCACTCCCCACTCCCAAGAATATTGGGAACTGTAGTTCACCCCACACAGCTACAATTCCCAGCACCCTTCCGAGAACAGACTACAGTTCCCATGATTTTTTTGGGGGGAGGGGTGTACTTTAAATGTACAGTGGTACCTTGGTTTTCAAGCATCTCAGAAGCTGAATGTTTTGGTTTTCAAACGCCAAAAATCTGGAAGTAAATGCTTCCGTTTTTGAATGCGCCTCGGAGGTTGAATGTCTTCCGCTGTGTCCCTCACCCCCATTTTCCCATTAAAATTGCTCTTTCAATGGACTGCCCTTTGCGCCTTGGTTTTTGAAGGTTCTGGAGGTACCACTCTATTGGTTCTATGCAGCCAAGGGAGCAAATATTTTGCTACATTATTAGAGCTGCATGGCGCACACACAGTATCTTTAGTTGCTGCTGCCTAGTGGGGACACCACTTTGGCCATCTCATGAGAAGAGAAGACTCCCTGGAAAAAACCCTGATGTTGGGAAAGATTGAGGGCACAAGGAAAAGGGGACGACAGAGGATGAGATGGTTGGACAGTGTTCTCGAAGTTACCAGCATGAGTTTGACCAAACTGCGGGAAGACAGGAGTGCCTGGCGTGTTCTTGTCCATGGGGTCACAAAGAGTCGGACACGACTAAACGACTAAACAACAACAGTGGGGACACCTGTGGGTTTTCTTCTGGTGTAAGCACGTGGCTGTAATGTGCTTTGATGTGCTGTAGAACTGCACTGTGTTTCTCAACTATATTGCCCTTGTTTCTGGAAGCACAGAGTAGCGTGAGCCATGCATCTGGATATGTCATGGTGGAACAGTGGCTTCACACAAGCAAAAAGAAGACAGTAAATTCCTAAGTTGGAGCCAAAAGATTTAGCAATATATGCCACTAAAAGCGATGGTGGTTGCTGCCCTAAGACATTGAACATCTCCTCTGGAAATAAAAAGGGGCGGAAAGGACGGGGGGAGATCTCTGTGTGGTGTAAATTTCATCATTTTAAAATACATAGGAAAATGGATAGTCACCGCAAATAGCAAATTCCAAGTCCCTCTAGGGGCTCTGCCTACAATGAGAATGTTTTGAGTTGTTTATGTTCAAAAGCAGAGTCCCGAGAGTGATATACTGCTATCAACTCGCTCTGTGCTGTGGCCTTTTATTGTTGTTTATAATGGGCTGAAGATATTTTTTCCCCACTTACATTTTAACTGTAGCTTTGAAGAGCTGTAAGAGAAGAATTGAGCCTGAAAATCAGGGTTGGAAGATTAGGGGTTTTAGGTGGCCTGTTTTGCCTAGAAAACTATTGGTAATATATATTATTAGAAATTTGCATTTCCCACCTGAGTGCTACTGAAAAGCCGTATGAATCTATTAGGTGCCGAATTGCACATCCTACTTTTCAAATCGACGCAGCGTTTGCTCGCTAAAAAAAGAGGCTAAATCCTGTTATCCCAAGGCATTAAGGAAATATGTCTCTAATTGTATTATTAAAAGGTGTGTTATTGCTACAATAAATCATAATGGCCTGCTTTTACACACTGTATCCTGTATCCTACAGAGTTGGGTGTGTGTGTTTCTAGTATGGTATTGAGAGGAATGATGACTGGCAATGAAGCGTGAATGGCAAAGAGGAAAGAGCAAAATGCTTCTTATGTGGCCTGATATGTAACAGCATGTTAACAAAATAGTAATTTTGGAGAGCACAACTGGAAATGGAAAAGAGTGGGTGAAGGAGATATCGGATGAGTTAATAAGGAGCTGGTGGGTGACAATTAAACCCAAAGGATTTAATTTTTGCAGTTAGTTTGAATCCAAATTGGTGTGTGTGTGTTAATGTAGGTGTATAATACAGATAGATTAGATGATAGATAGATAGATAGATAGATAGATAGATAGATAGATGACAGACAGACAGATAGATAGATAGATAGATAGATGATAGACAGATAGAAACAGTGTCAGCTCACATTAGCAATAATCCATTGATCCTAAATTGAATATATATTAAGTAGTCCATATCTTCCGATAGATATTGAGATTGTTGATTATGAGCTATATGTTCAAATGTAGAGAAGGACAGGAAGATGTTCAGACCACTGAGCAATGGATGGTAGGTTTTTATCCTTCCATCCTTGGAGTAGACATCCCTTTGCAACCATAAGGGCTTGTAGGATCCACTTTTGTTACCCATCTGTTAGTCCCCACATCACAGGGATGGGTTGGATCCTAAATGAGATATCTTTCTGGTGAGTAAGAACAGTTGACAAGTAAGATGTTTTAATTTTAAAAAACAGAATAGATTGGTGAGAAAAGGGTTGTGTGGGGAAACACAAGGTTATTGCGTGCATGGCAACATCTGTTTTATAAGAATTCACCGGAAAAAATGAAAGGCAATAAAGTGGAGATGAGAGTTGTAAAGATCATGATGGGTTACAGTACATTTCAGCTTAAAATGATATACAGGTATGCCTGGAGTCCATTGAGATATTAAGTCTGTATTGAGTTGGTCAGGTGGAAAATGTGGCGTCTTCCTTGGCTGTGCTCTGAAAAACCATTCATCTGGAAATGCAGAGAACAAGCAGGAAAAACACCAGCATGGGATGTGATGTTCGTTTGTTTTGATAACATATTTCCAGGACATCCTCTGCCAGTGTAGTTGCAAGGAAGCAGAGGATTTGATGGAAACACAGAAGGGGCAAGGGCAAATTTGTGTGCCATGTTGGGGTTGCCGGGAGGTCTCAGGGGCCTCATGTTCCCATAAGCTATGTGGCACGTAAGATGGCAACTAAAGAGCCTCGTGTCACTGATACACCAAAGTATGTGCAAGAGATCACAGAGGTTGCTGTGACATAGAGACTGGCACAGATGTAAAACAGCCCAGTCTAGCTACCAGTGGTTGATCAGGTTAAAATACCCAGACCTGGAGATAATGAATTGAAATGGTTCTTAATTCTCATATCAAAGACAAGGTGAGCATTATGGAAGAAGAAGAAGAGTTTGGATTTGATATCCTGCCTTTCACTCCCTTTAAGGAGTCTCAAAGCGGCTAACATTCTCCTTTCCCTTCCTCCCCACAACAAACACTCTGTGAGGTGAGTGGGGCTGAGAGACTTCAAAGAAGTGTGGCTGGCCCAAGGTCACCCAGCAGCTGCATGTGGAGGAGCGGAGACGCGAACCCGGTTCCCCAGATTACGAGACTACCGCTCTTAACCACTACACCACACCGGCTCTCGTTACACATTATGGCTCCAAAAGTTCTTCAGCTTAAATGTTTCTGCAAGACAGAGAAAAACTTTCACCCTCTATCTTGCTCATGTCCTGACCGCAGGGAGATCTCTCTTCTTCCCTCCCTTCTTCAGTGCATGGAATGCTGTGGTCCAAGCACCAAAAGTGTGGATTTAGAATATAGATTTGGAAACTAATCCCTATGGTCCTGGTGTCTGGCATGCATCTGTAGCTGTGTGTCAGGTGCTAGAGAAACAGGGAGAGGGGTCATTTTCCGTTCCACTGAAGCAGAAAGCAAGATGAATTGGAAGAAAGCTTGGAGGGAGGGCAGTGGGTGGCTAGGGGAGGTCGAGGCTCACCAGTGTGGTTGTGGGAAGGACCACGCACCCTGTCACATTCCACATGACAACACCAAGGACGTGGCAGGATGTGGAAAACTGGCTTTGGAATCACCAGACCTATTCTTTTGTGGTATGGGAAATAGTTAGCTTTTTCTAAGAATCGTGGACTGATAGAAGTGTAGAGTTGGAAAGGACCACTAGGATCATTTAATCCAACCCCCTGCAATGCAAGAATCTTTTACCCAACATGGAGCTCGAACCCACAACCTTGAGATTAAGAGTCTCATGCTCCACAGACTGAGGAGTTTGCTCCAGCATTACTCCAGTCTTCGTCATGGCTTGTGGGCTGGTCAACTTCCTCTTTTCTTGGATATGAATGATATCCATTTTCTGAGTTATTCTAGGTTAGCTTTATGCTGACATTTCACTAACCACAGGTTGCGGACATTAGCGATCCCATTTTTGCAGTTGAAATCCTATTTGAGGTTAGATCTGCAGCTTGGAATGGAAGAAGAAATCTATGCAAAAGAGGAAGAAGGGGAAATAATCTCATATCTAAGAGCATTTGCCTGCTAACTTGTGTAATACTCCATGCACCTGTTTCAGTAGGCTCCATTCTATGCATGCTTACACTACAATCTTATATATCTATAGTGAGCTCATTCTCCTAAGTGTTGATCTTCCTGTAGCAAAACATAGAACAGAAAATGCACAAGGCAGAGGTATCAACAGGCTTGTGGGAACCCCAAGGTTTACATAGGTACAAAAAGAAAAGCAGGGGGGATGCCCAAATTGGGTGTGGGTGGCAAAACAACTCGGTGAGGACTGAGCATGTTCAGTGGGTATGGAATGTCATTTGACAGTTGGGTGGGGGAGACAGAAAATGGGGGAGAATGGAGTGCAGTATTCTGCAAAAGGGCATCACTGTCTTCCCAGACTCCTGAAGAGGAACAATCAACATTGCAGCTTTTTGTTGCAGGTCATACTTGTAAATCTATTAGCCTTCAAGGTGCCACAAGACTCCTTTTTGTTTTTATTATCACAGCTGCCATCAATAGCGAGGGAGTTAAGCATCCTTAGAAATTGTTTGGAATCTGGACCAAGACTACAGCTTGACTCCCACAACAGAAAAGTATGACCAAAAAACTGATGATTAGCTGAGTGTAAGTGAGCTTCATCTGTGGGTTGAGCATTCCTTCAATATTTCTTTTACGCAGACACTTGCTTTTCCCATCAAAGAAATGAAAAAGATTTTAAAGGGATTTCTCCTACAGACTGAGAATAAAGAAAGGGACAGATTGTTAATTCAATTATTTAAAAAATGTAAGTATTTTAGATATCCTCCCGGTAGCCGTTGAATGTGTACCCACGTAAATAGGGTTGTTCACATTATCATAAATAATTGTGAGCATTCACAATAAAATCATTGTGTAATTGCTATGGCAGAAATGTAAAAGGAAAGGAAAGGAAAGAAGAAGCATTTGTCAGATATCCAAGACAACTGTAGCTAAACATATCATGGGGAAATGTATCTGTGGTTGAAGAGCCACAACAAAAAGTGAACAGGGAGGTATAATCAGTGCCAGATTTACATGTAAACTAAACAACCTATAGCTTAGGGCCCCACTCTCTTGGGCTCCCCCAAAAAATTTAAAGGGAAAAAACCTGGATGTACATTTCCAAAATATAAGATAAAAATAAAATAAAATAAAGCCTACATACAGCAACAGTGTTTTGTTTTGTGTTGTGTAGGCTCCTATGATGTAAGTAATGGGCCCCTCCTGCTAGCCTACTCCCTAAAATATCACTGGTTTGCTCATTTCTATATATAGGTTGCCTACATTCTTCATGTTCAAATGGCTTTAGATACCTATTAGGTCCATAAATTACCGTATAGCATATATTCAACACAAACAGCAACAATTTGTTGTTGACAATGGACAGCTGGACATATAAAGGGCCCCATTACCTTCAGTAGTTTAGCACCTCATCAAACCTAAATCCAGCCCTGGGTATAATGCAAGTCCCTGCTCATTTTAACGACAACTTCAGAAATCGATCCGAATAAGTAGGCCTTGCAACAGTTTTGAATGCTCCTATTCAGGATTTCCACCAACCAGTCTTGGCTTCTATCAGAATACTCCATTACACCCTCCCTCCATACCTCCCAGTTTTCCATTTTCCCTGCCCCTCCAACACTCAGCCAACTTTACAGGAACATCTCATTGAACTGTTGCTGGCTTCCCCCTTCCCCCTTAGGATACTTCCCTCCTAAAGATTTTGTGAGCTTCTACAAACCTTTGGGGTCACCCCCACATCTGCTGTATAGGTCCCCTTAGTGCGTCAGTGGGGCCATTTTGGCTAAATAGGAACTGACAGTCAAATAATGAGTGGGAGAAGGGATGTAGGCTCAGGGATAGAGCACCAGCTTTGCACGCAGAAAGTCTCAGGTGTAATCCCTGGAATCTCCCCCAATTTGTGCATTTTTGTCAACACTGCTTGGTTCGAGAACTTCATCACAATGTTTGGATCAGTGCAGGTGTTGGAGGATGGCTATGTTTCGGATCTCAGATTGTTTCAGAAAGTGTGGATTTGATAGACATGGCTTTAAATGCAAATTGAATAATTTCTCTCCCCCATCCCTACTTGTGATAGATGTTGTTGTTGTTTAGTTGTTTAGTCGTGTCCAACTCTTTGTGACCCCATGGACCAGAGCACACCAGGCACTCCTGTCTTCCACTGCCTCTCGCAGTTTGGTCAAACTCATGTTAGTAGCTTCGAGAACACTGTCCAACCATCTCGTCCTCTGTCGTCCCATTCTCCTTGTGCTCTCAATCTTTCCCAACATCACTGTGTTTTCCAGGGAGTCTTCTCTTCTCATGAGGTGGCCAAAGTATTGGAGTCTCAGCTTCAGGATCTGTCCTTCCATTGAGCACTCCGGGCTGATTTCCTTCAGAATGGATAGGTTTGATCTTCCTGCAGTCCATGAGACTCTCAAGAGTCTCCTCCAGCACCATAATTCAAAAGCATCAATTCTTCAGTGATCAGCCTTCTTTATGGTCCAGCTCTCACTTCCATATATCAGTACTGTGATACATATCCATGGTCTATTAGTCACTACTAGTCTCAGGTAAAGACCATGGCAATATGGTGCTCTGTGTGAGACCATAATTTGACAACCCAGCTCTTGTGCCACCTTCCCAAAGTCAGGTAAGCGAGATGTTGGGCATGGGAAAAGAGGCATGAGGGCTCTGGCAGGGTCCTAGAGCCCATCCCATCTCCTTCCCCAAGCTAGGCATGTGCTAACAAGGCTTTGGGAAGCAGGCAGGAAGGCACCCCCTCAGCTCAGCGTCCCATGCAGGGGAACCAGTTGTGCTGCCCTAAGTCCGCCTTTGCTGGTCTCATGCTAAATGGAAGCTTCAGATTCTCTGACTATGAGACGGTAGCAGCTGCTAGGTTGGGGAGCCGCTATGCACCTGACCTCCCACCAGCAGAATTGGTGCTATTTACTAGGATGGAGATGGGAGAGGTGGCAGGCGTGCCGGTGCTGTGTGGGTGCATCAGCAGATCCAAATGCAGCATGCAAAACACAGCACTGCCCCTCTCCACCAGCTACTGCCATCACATGGGAGGGACAAATGTCAGGCTGGGGCTATTTCCACCGTGCCACATTTGTGACACGTCTGATTCAGGTCTGATTCAGCAAGGTGGTTATTATATCCTCGATGATAATCAACATACTGTCACTGTTTGTTACCTAGAGGCGTAACATTCCCCTGGTTTTTTTTCTGAGCCAGTATAACAGGCTTCTGTTTCTGAATGGCGAATGGGCTAAATTGGAGGGGGTTGGGTTTAGCTTAGGTCCTCTTAGATCCTGCTCCCTCTGAGAACTGAGCAAGAGCAAGCAAATTGGATTCCAGTGTAAAATGAATTTTAAATCCCATGAAACCAAAGTGGAGCAACTCATGTGTGACATTGTGCGAGTTCATCTTGAGACAAAGGCATTCAAATTTGCTCCTCTTAATTTGGGCTATTAGCATAGTGAGAAAAGGTTAAGCTGACTATTATGAATCGGAGAACTTGAGACCATGTTATTGCAGAGGCTTGCTGGACCGCCCTACAGAATGTAGGTTAAAGGAGCCAATTCATAAACTATCAATTGGCTTGTTTCCATGGGATTCTTGAAGTATTTCTTCCTGATAGAACTCTTCTTTGTTTACGGTTTCTAAGACGGCTTTAGCCTTCCTAGAGCTTTTCCACTCCCTCTTTGTGATCTCGTTTTAAAACAAGCTTCTTTGTAGGAAACTTCCTTTCGGTGGGGAGGGAACCCTCCAAACGTTGA